AGGTACTGCGCTACCAGAGATCCTTACTAGATAGTAGACACATGTTAATTTTGATGAAGGGAAAGGCAATAATGTAATATGGGGGAAGTCAGCACAATGTCACCAAGGCAAAGAAAGACACTGAGAGGTGTGCAAGAATAAAAGGCTGCTACAGTAAAAACTATGTTATTGTTGTTGTTATGTGCCATTGAGTTGGACCTGACTCATAATATGCAGCAATAATAACAAATAATAATTTACAAATGGATACATAGGTAGATATATATATATTAAATAGATGAGTAAGGTTGTATGAGAGTATACCTCTGCATGTATACAGGTATGGTTGTGAATATTTCTACATACATAATTGTATGTTGTTGTTGTTGTTATGTGCCATCGAGTCAGACCTGACTCATAGCGACCCCTTCTTGGGTTTCTGAGGTGGTATCACTACGGAAGTAGATTGCCTAACTTCCTTCTGAGGAGTGGCTGGTGGGTTTGAACCGCCAGCCTTTTGGTTAGCAGTCAAGTACCTTAGGCACTATGCTACCAGAGCTCCTATAATTGTATGTAGTGTAAGTATAGTCATACATATAATAGAGCAAATGGGGATGTAGCTATGGAAACTCCTTTAGACATTACTAAATACCAGTACCTCATGGGATACCTCATGGCACTGAGATACTGGGCTGGAAGACTAAGGACCATAGTCTCTAGGGACATCTAGGTCAATTAGCACAAAATAGTTCATTAAGATAATGTTCTACATCCTGTTGAGATGAGTAGCATCTGGTATCTTAAAAGTTTGTGAGTGGTTATCTAAGACAAAAGTGTTAGTCTCTTCCCATCTGGAACAAAGGAGAGTGAAGAAAACCAAAGACCCCAGGAAGTAATAGAAGTCCAGGAAGTCTAGAGGGCTAATGACCCCCATGCGCCACAGCCGTCACTAGCCTGAGATCAGAAGAACCAAATAGTACCTGGCTATCACTACAGATTTCTCTGACCAGGAACACAATAGAAGGTCTGGTCAGAATGGGAGAAAAATGTAGAACAAAATTCAAATTCACAAAAAAGACCAGACTTCCTGTCTGCTAGAGACCAGAGAAATCCTTGAGATGGTAGCCCTAAGACACCCTTCTAACTTGGAATTGAAGCCACTCCTGGATATCACCTTTCAGCCAGATAATAGGGCCAAAAGTTAGAATAACTCATGTGAACAATCAACTATACTAGGCCAGGGGGGCAGGATTTTTCCAAAAGCAAAGATGAGAACAGAGAAAAGGACAGAAAAACGGAAAGAATGGAAATGAGGAACCTAGGGTGGAAATAAGGAGAGTGTTGACACGTTGTGGGTCCAAAGTTAGATAGAGGTGGAAAATCCCATTTTCCAAAATTCCTCTCAGTTTTATACTTACAGGAGTTTACTTAGAATATTATAACTGCAAGCTAGATTGCTAAATATAGAAATGAATATTAGGAAATGAACAGTCACTGTTTAATGTGGGTCACTACCTTGGAATGCTAGAAAGATAGGAAAGTGTGACTATAAATTAAGTAGTTTTATAGGAGCAATAAAGTTTGAAATGTTTCAAGTTTATATTGTTACAATTTTATCAAGTAGGCAATTTGATAAGTACCAAAGCATTGGTTATTTTGAGTCCTGTCTCCTATTTTTACTATTTTAAGCTGTTTATGGGGCTCAGAGTATAAATAGTGAAAATTTAATATCAGTGACTTTATTCCCGCCCCCCCCCAAACCCTAGGATGTTAAAAGGTGAGAAGTGTTCTTGGGGATGAAACTCTTCAGGAAAACCTTATTTCTTCAGTTTTTCTGACCCCTAGTTTGGACGTTTTGAATGAATGAGTATCAGATTGTTTTGACCTAGTGTTCAGTTTTGAGTACAATTAGCTATATTAATAATGGTCAGAGTTATAAAAATTTGCTATAATGTTATGAACTTTAGTTT